ATCGCATCTGTTGCCATCACTACAATAAGCACTTCGTCTCTGTGTACCTTGTCCACAAGATCGTGAACACTAAAAAGGAAACAGAACCATTTGGATTAAGACAATGATAATTATGTATTATATTATGTTAATAAGCAATCAATTGAAATAAATATACAAGATACTTAAAATGAAAAAAACAGGACTTGAATTTGTTTCCTCTAGTCTTCAGACTGCAAACTGGATTTTCTGTTAAGTATGGACCACTAATTCTAGATTTTGTTTGATTTATCTCATCTGAGATTGTGTAGACATTTTGGTATATACTACATAATACATAAAATAATTTTTTTAAATAAAATTTTTAAAATAATTTTTTTTTCATATGAAAAATTGAAAAGAAATGCATGTATGCCACCTATTACCTCAACATTTGTGCACAACTGATATTGTACAGATTAATAAGTTAAAATAGGCAAAAGAGCACAAATTAGTCACCAAGATACTGCTCCAACTGGCCAAGTGTTTTAAGTTGCTGAGAATGGTGCAGTGATGCCTGGTTCTTACCTAATTGATTATTGTTGGTTAAGCGTTACTGTAGTTGTTTTTAATTTCAGATTTTGTTTAAGAGCTTTGTGTTCATTTTTAAATGTGTAAAGTACTACATAAGCCACTACCATTGCCACAACCATTACCACGAGCCTTCAGATTTATATTTAAATTAAAGTGAGATCATTAAACGATCATATCATCGCTCACATCACGAACTAACACAATTAAATTCAATTGTGTTAGTTCATGAAATCAAAAAAGCACGTCAAAATACGTGCTGTTGTTGTTGAGGACTTTTTGTGAGGTAAAGAATACAAAATTGCTTGACAACCAATACGCGCTCGTTTTGACGCGCTACTGTGATTTCACGAACTAACACAATCTACTTTGATTGTGTTAGTTCGTGATGTGAGCAACGATATAATGACTTTTCTTGGTTTTTATATAGTGCCTTATACTTATGACTCAGGGTGCTGCTAAACACTGTTGTTAGTGACCTCTTATTAATGGAAAGCGGTTATAGCTGATGTTTTTCAGCAAATAGAAAGCGATTATAGCCGATGTTTTTCAGCAAATAGAAAGCGATTATAGCCGATGTTTTTCAGCAAATGGAAAGCGGTTATAGCTGATGTTTTTCAACAAATGGAAAGCGGGTTTAGCTGATGTTTTTCAGCAAATGGAAAGCGGTTATAGCTGGTGTTTTTCAGCAAATGGAAAGCGGTTATAGCTGATGTTTTTCAGCAAATGGAAAGCGGTTATAGCTGATGTTTTTCAGCTAATGGAAAGCGGTTATAGGTGATGTTTTTCAGCAAATGGAAAGCGGTTATAGCTAATGTTTTTTCAGCAAACTAGATGCAGTGTACTCGATGATACTGTTAACCATTCCAAAGCAGAGGAACAGCAACAGAGAAAGCCAGTGAGTCATAGCTTGCATTCACTTTAAGATGTACTTGCTGTTAACATATCATTTTTAATTAAATTACCAATTTATTAATTTTCATCAGATATTTTTTATCTAAAATGAAAGATAGGAAAACAAAAATAGATGGAAAGTTGATATAAGGATAACTAGATGGATCTGCAAACTACAAAAACTGTACTAAGAGAATGAAGAGTGAAAAGAAAACATTACACATTACAAAAGAATGGAAAGACTATATAAGGACCAAGAAAACTATTTTGTAACTAATGTAAGGATAACCAGATGAATGGATAACTATGGTACCATGCACTATGCAACAAACTACTGAACATGATCACAATTCCCAAAATGTCAACTTAAGTTTCCTTAGTATTATCAATATACTTTCCTGTTGTGGGTCATGTATAGCTTTCCCACCATGCTCTGTGAACATAGCCTCAGCAAACAAGAGTATAAACAATATGCACAAAGCTACTATGCTACTTAAATACATGTCTCCCCAGCACATACATTTTCCTGATCAAACCATTACGTCAACCAAAACACATCAATAATTTGTACTATGTATGTAAAAATGATTACTTGGCAAATCAATTAACATAAGCATTACTTACACTTATATGTAGTCTTATAAATATATAAAGCAAGCATTGAAGCAGCATTGTTGAAAAGAAAACATGATATGTTATAAAACAAAGATCTTCTGTTGTGACTTGTTAGTCTGTAAGGGGGTCTTTTCTTTGTAAAGAATTTAATTCTACATTTGAATTCACACCAACCAAAATATTTTTAACAGGAACAGTTAAAAAATCTAAAGCCGCATTTACAGTATATATCCAATTCATAATATTAATAATTACCTCAGACCAACGAGAGTAAATCCATTTAGCTCTCTGGCGACATTGTCCATTACAAACAACTCTTTGTGGTGGTTTTTGTAGATGTGAGCAGTTACCATTGCCAACAATAATTCCAGAGGTTCGGCCCTTTGGCATCTTAATACATTTGATTGTTCGTGTCTTTTCTCCAAGGCCACAGGATGATGAGCATTCACTTTCCCATGTCTTTTCCCAGCTGGAAAACAATAGTTAGATATCTGTAAGACTTCATTCTGATTCCGCGACCAGGAACTTGCAAAGCAACTGCATACACACAAGTTCATCATAACTTAATTCTTCCAAAAATATTAACATACACTTTCATACACAGCAAATGGAGGGGTTGACAAAAAAGGACCTACTTTTTATAACCAAATCAGTTCTGTCTGTCCAAAAATTAAAAGAAAAAATATAGTGAAATACAATATTAAAATTAATATTAAAAATTGTATGATGCCCACCATCAATACACTGTGACAAAATTTGTGGTGGAGACATTATAAGTAAGACTTGGTGTGAAACATATTAATATATTAATATGTATTGAACATACCTTAAAGTGGATCAAGCGTACCTTAATTTGCATTTTGAATTGCAGTTAGCTGTAATAGGCGCAGGTTTGTTACCAAGGCAAAATGATACATCTACTTGTCTTCTATCAACTTGTTTTAAACATCGAATTCTCCTACTTTTCCTTCCTGAATTTTGAAATAAGATACCATTGACATTTAATTTTCAATCTATTCAACTTCAAATCAGAGGGTGACAGTGGCATGTGACAGCATATTTTATATTTTATGGTGGTCCAATATGCAATACAATGCAAAGTGTAGATTGTTATATAATCACTTTATAATTTCTAAAAAGGCAGTAGAAAAAATTATGACCAATAACTGACTCTGCTCATCTTTTGATGAACATGCAGACAGCAGAACAAAAACAAAAATGTTGTCTTTAAATGGATTGTACTGCATGATAGAATGATTTTGTTGATGTCTCATGTCTTTGTCATGAATGTTCTTTTAGAGAAAAAGCATTAGATCAATTACATTATGGTTAAATAAATCTGGTAAACCAAACGCAACTAAAAAAATACCTCTCAAACACACCAAACAAAAATTGTTATTTAAAAAACATAATAGAAATTGAGACACACTAAATGCCACCCTAATGGTAAGGAGCTGGCTTGGATAGCTCACCAGTAGTACAAAATACAAAATACTGTACTAAGAAAAAATATAATACAGATCCATAACCTAAAGCTAAAGTGAGATGAAATAAGTTGAGACACTCTGTCCCAAGGGGGCAACAAACTGAACTAGATTTTGCTAACAAGCAAGAGTAACTCTTGGAATTGCATCTGAAGATAAATCTAAATCAAATATATAACCTTCAATTTAAATGAATCAAAAACATTGTATATGCTGATTTATAAACTCTTTATATTATAATTTATTTCAAATTTTAAATCCAGACATCAAAATATTGTTACATTTTTTTTTATAAGTAGAAACTGATATCACTGCATTTGTAGACCTGAGGGAAGGCTTGGATGAGTTCTAGGATCATGTTAAAGATTCACAACATATATTTCCCTATATGTGTCATTTCCCTAAAGGGCATCATGGGTAATCTACAGGCCAATTGATACTTGTGGGAGCATTCCAAATACTGTACTTGAGAAACTAGTGTTAATTGGAATTATAGTGTAGATTTTATTCATCTTGAAACATAATAGTTGATTACTCAACCAATTTTGAGTTAAATCAAATTCTGGAAAGTAAAAGTATCTATATAATCATACAAACTTTTTTAATATACAGACTGAAATATTAACCAAAACATAAACAATTTGAAATGAGACAGCTGTAAATCCAAATAAAATTATCTATATAAATCATACATAGTACAGACTAAAATATTCATAAGTCAACTAGAAATAAGACATAGCTGCTGTGTCAGCAACATTGCCAAAACTTGAGCTGACAATCTCTTCCTGTTTTTGTCTCCTGGAACTTAACCAAAAACTATCAGGATATGTAACACCACTACAACAGTTTCACTGATAAAAGTTGGGTCTTTTATAGAAAGTATTTTTTACTATAAAGATCTAGTTCTGCTTTTATGATAATTATTGTAAAAATAACAATTAAATAAAAGTTGAGTATGAAGCACACTTACCTTTACATATACTTGTACATGGTTCCCAAGGACCATAGGCATCCCATACGTAAACAGATCTACCTTCTACAGGCACTTTGTATTCATAACGAATGTTTGGTTGTTCATTGCTAATTGTCAAAAGCTGAGTGAAAAATATGAAGGTTTTAATTGGGTTGGATTGAATTTCAAATAATGAGCATTAGTTAAGTTTGTACATCAGCAAAAAACTCGCTCTGAAACATCAGACACTTAAACACTTTTCTTGTTAAGTAATATTTGCAATGTTTCCTTAAGCAAACTTATAATATCAAATTTTAATTTATTCAAAGAATTATTTCGACAAAGGAAAATCACAGAAATATTACGTACGTAAAGGTTAAGGTCCTGAGGAAGTGGTTTATTGCATGTTATGTTTTCCACAGCCATTCCTGCTCCACTGTATGTTATAAATATATCTCCTAAAGGAATAGTCCTCCTGGCAGTACTGATGATTGAGTTACCATTCAATATCCAATGTCCACTACTGTTCTTTAGAGCTTTGAAAAAAAATCGCATGTCACATCAGAATCAGAAGTATAGTACATTATACAATTTTTTTGTGAACAGATTTTCTTCATAAAATAGAAATATAAAAAAATTTAACAAAAAACTAACTAAAGATATTTACCTAAATAAATTTCATCATCCATTCTTGAACTATACCTAGAGGCAGCAGACTGTGTAATTTCCAGCTTCATAGCTCCAGCAGGGAACTGATTCACAAAGTTATAACCTGTGAAAAGTGAATTATGTTAAATAAAAAGTAATAATTTAATAATATAAAATATACACTACAACCAATAAGTTTCATCTCACTTCATCAACACTATAACTGACAGCATAAGATCAGATTAATTTTTGAACAACATGACCATCAATAATTTGACTTGATTTATAAAGACACATAATATATAGATTTTCATACCATAAATATTGACATTATACTGGCCAGTAACAGTCCTACAGGATGTGTTGTCTCCTCCACATACACCGCAATCATCTCGTTTGGTTTTTGAACCCAAGATATGATCACAGCCCGCCCTCTATATTATTAACGTATAAAGATACAAAAGATAGTAAATAATGTCTAAATTAGTTCAAGACAAATGTAACATCAGACTTCCAGGTATTTATTAATTAATAAAATAATAATAACAACCATTTTTAAAAACTATATTATATGAATTATGACTGTTGTTGATTGTAGTTGAATTATAAGGTATCCTGCAATTACAGATACAGATAAAATTGCGTACCCAACACATCCCCTCCACGCAAATATCATCCGTATCTGGTCCACACGAGGTACCGTCGATAACCTTCCGAGCAAGTTGGTAGTAGTGACTTCGACCTGCTACACGGCAGTGGAGACGACACTGATCCTTAGCATGAACTGAAAAAAAAAACACCATAATATTTTATAAATTTGTTTACAACACTAACAGTAAATAGTATAAGTCATTGATGTCATTGTTTTACCTCTAACAGTATTTTCTTAAACAATCTTTTTCTGGAAATTTAATGAATGCTAAATCCAAATAATGTTGACATAACTAAGCTTTATTTGGTTTTGACTTTATTTTCTTTAAACTATAACAGTTGGGACTTTTTTTTATGTAATAATGCAACACTTTGGTGCATAGAAACTCTCTATATTTATTGCTTAATTGAGAATACCCTACTTACTACCATGATACATAGGCACCCATCTGACAGCACTATTCAAACCATTGACATTCAGATGTCGGCCATTATAAGCAGCACATTGCAATGCCCTGAAATCTTGACCGTCTTCACAAGGCTGGGAACAAAAAAACTTGAAAGAGTAAAAAAAAGTGCCAATCTCCATTAGCTCTAAACAAGCTTTATGCTTCATCACTGCCAGTTAGAGAATGTAGAACATGATGTTTCCTCATTTGACTTATATTAATGAGGGCTCAATAATACCATGGCGTAAAAAATGTTGGACTAATTGAGATATGACCTGCATTTATATTCAGGTAATATAAACATTGTAAAAAAATAAACACAGGAAGTGTGCAATAAATTAGTTTCAAATACAAACCTTTGTGTTACATGAACGATAACGTGTCCTACGTCCAATACAGTATTTCCCAGCATACTGTGGTGATGGATTATTGCACAAACGAGTTGCTTTTTTCACACCTCCACCACAAGTTCTAGAACAGTTGCCATAAGGCTCCCATTTACCCCAACCTCCATCAACTGGATTTGGCTCAGAGTTTTTTCGAACACACCGTCCCTTATCACACCACTGAAAAAAGATAATTAAAAAACTTATAATATTTTTAAAGGATTAGATAGTTTGTCATGGACACTAAAGTATACATACGTAACACTGCAAATAGTTTCTTTAAATTCTTACAGAGTTGGGGTTGCAAGGTGAACCATCAGCCCAGGCCATATGTTGAGTTCGACAATGATCAGTGCTTCTTCCAACAGTACACCATAGCTTATCACAATATTTCTACAGATATTGGAATAAAAGCTGTCTCTTATACACATCTAGATGTGTATAAGAGACAGAAGTTATGGTATAAAATGGCTATGTTAAATATACATATGTCTGATATAAAATTATTGATTTAATCTTCACAAAATTAACAATATAACATTGGTAATTGTCTTCTTCCGCATTATAATTTGCTCAGAAATGTTTTGAAGATGTTTCTCTTAAAATTAAGGCATATTATCATAACCAACTACTATGACTTCCAAGAAACTACTTGTCTGTCATGAAGCTCTGGTTGGCTAGCCCAAGGTGATTTGCATCTGGGCATGTTAAGAGCAAGGCTATGCAAGGTCTAACCACTAGTTCTAAAGACCACCTCAAACTTACAAAACCTTGGGAAAAATATGTGATACCTTTCAGGCCTAAGATTTTAAATTTCTATTCACAGGTGTGTAGTGTCCAGGATGATATAGCTGTAGGCATAGGGAAGAGGGCTGATAGGACCACTGATAAAACATGTTACACCAAAATGAGGTCATAAATTTCAAAAGGGAGAAATCTGCAGTAAAATATCAGCAGGAGTAGTCCTATTTATCAGATTATGTTTGTACTGAAATGATGAATATAATAACCATGATACAATATTTTTTTCAGTAGTATTTATTTGTATTGTTGAAATATTGATTCTATTTTTGATTTTAAAAAAAGTATTAAAAAGTATTAATATTTTATAGGGATGAGTATCAAATAAGTAAATATCAAGGGTTACTACCTAGGTTAAAGGAGCTAGCTGATGGATGGGGATGGGAAGATCTACTAGACAAGAGAGACAGAGATTACATTGATATAGAGTAGGTGTCAAGAGTTAATGTTATTAATATTATTATGCTACACAGATTGAGAAAGAAATTATACCAACCTAAACAAAGGAGAAAGATTGGAGAAGAAATGGGGAAGGGGGCCCTTGCTGACAGAAAAATCTAGAAAATCGTGTCGGGATTCAATATTTGGACATTAATTATGTCGTCATCATCAGGAATCAAGACCATGTAAACTTATACAGTCAGTCTGGAAAAGTGTGGACAGATATGTCTGTGGCAACCTCAACTAAGGGTAACCTAGTTTTATGATGGGAGTGATTCTCCTGAATGCCGCAAGAAAAATATATAGAATGCAGCAAATGGCACACACCATGTACTTGATAAAATGAAAATATACCTGAACTGGGATCATTTACCTAAGGTGAAGACATGGGCAGATAATGTGCTGAGACCCAGTTGTACTCTCCACATGACCTATTAATCCCAAAATGGTTTTTAGTAGGATGGGTAAAGGAGTTTATTTAGTCTATTACAGTACCTCCTTCAATGTTTTGTTTATATCTACATTTGAAACTTAAAACATAAATGTTACAAACCCATAATGATTTAGGGCCAGACTTAATTACAAAAAAATGTACTTTTATCAACTTTTCTGAAATTCAGATACTACTCTGAAGTTAATGAAACAAATGAGTAGGTACTGTAGAACTTTTTTGACTAACAATGAATTTTATTTTACAAGCTTTCGCCCCAGTCAATGGGGCTTCTTCTTTTGCCCCAGTCAATGGGGCTTCCTCTTTCACCCCAGACAATGGGGCTTCTTCTTTTGCCCCATTGACTGGGGCGAAACTTGTGAAATAAAATTCATTGTTAGTCAAAAAAGTGCTACAGTACTTACTCATTTGTTTCATTAGTATAAACTGACTAATATGGCTACACCACTTTTTTGATTTTCTGAAGTTAGCAATTTATAAACAGCTGAAAAACACTTTTTATATTATATGTTTTTAATTGCATGTACATGAATTGTTTCATTCCATTTTAATTATGAAAAAAATGAGTGAAATGAAATTGATTATATCAAATGTTTAAACACAACAATAGTCAATTCACTTTAACATTTTTGTCTTCATAGCCTAAATTCAAATAAGATTAATATTTATAATTTATTTTATTTTTCTATTTATTTTTTTTTTAAATTTCAACTACTGTACATCCAACAGCAGATAGTTTCTATATTCACTAATCTATACCTATGGCAATAGCCAAAGAGTTCTGTACAACCTCCAAATAAAATGTACTTTGGTATACTGCAGTAATTTATGTTAGATCCTGAGAAAATATGAAATATGTATTGGAATAAAAGAATGATTGATTGTTACAGCAAAGAAATTGGAGTAACATGACAATGTCAATAATGACATGAAAAGGCCATGTTCTTTAATGTATAACAATATGACTTTAAGATCTAGAAAACATCAAGTTACATGAAACTGTAACAAAATGTAGACTATTAGAACTGGGGCATCTGGTGGACTCTTGTCAGCAAGCAAGAGGAAAAAATACTTGGCTTGTCTGTTGCACCTGTTGGAGTGTGTTTAAAGGATCTTAAGCATGATCTTTGTCATCATCAATTAGAGTAAGGGTGACATCCTATAATATGGTGCATTCTTCTCAGCCTCTTTCCACATTGGCCCATTGGGATATTACTGTACATACAAAAAGCAGTTTATGTGTTTATAAGCCTATTTATGTTAATTGTAATTTATGTTTCTAGCATCATTTGAGTTATCGTACTCTTACATTGGGGTACATATTAGAAAACAGAGAGGCATTCAACCACCTGATTTTATGCCTAACATACTTTATACAATCCTTATCTTATCTCTCTACTCCTAACATACTATCAATCAACAGTATGCAGACGCTGACTGATTTAATTTAACTTATTCCGTTAAAACAGTAACTGACATTCAAAATTACAATATTTATTATTTCTAAAACATCCTCCCACTTGAGCAAGTTCTTAGGCTAAATTTGAGATATATCAATGATTTTGTAGACTAAACAATCTGAAAATGGCGAAATCATTCAAATCTACCACTGGGTCTCCATAAGCAATGAAATATATGGGCATAGTTCCTGTCTCTTATACACATCTAGATGTGTATAAGAGACAGCAAATGAGTAGGTACTGTAGAACTTTTTTGACTAACAATGAATTTTATTTTACAAGCTTTCGCCCCAGTCAATGGGGCTTCTTCTTTTGCCTGTCTCTTATACACATCTAGATGTGTATAAGAGACAGGGTGTCAAGAGTTAATGTTATTAATATTATTATGCTACACAGATTGAGAAAGAAATTATACCAACCTAAACAAAGGAGAAAGATTGGAGAAGAAATGGGGAAGGGGGCCCTTGCTGACAGAAAAATCTAGAAAATCGTGTCGGGATTCAATATTTGGACATTAATTATGTCGTCATCATCAGGAATCAAGACCATGTAAACTTATACAGTCAGTCTGGAAAAGTGTGGACAGATATGTCTGTGGCAACCTCAACTAAGGGTAACCTAGTTTTATGATGGGAGTGATTCTCCTGAATGCCGCAAGAAAAATATATAGAATGCAGCAAATGGCACACACCATGTACTTGATAAAATGAAAATATACCTGAACTGGGATCATTTACCTAAGGTGAAGACATGGGCAGATAATGTGCTGAGACCCAGTTGTACTCTCCACATGACCTATTAATCCCAAAATGGTTTTTAGTAGGATGGGTAAAGGAGTTTATTTAGTCTATTACAGTACCTCCTTCAATGTTTTGTTTATATCTACATTTGAAACTTAAAACATAAATGTTACAAACCCATAATGATTTAGGGCCAGACTTAATTACAAAAAAATGTACTTTTATCAACTTTTCTGAAATTCAGATACTACTCTGAAGTTAATGAAACAAATGAGTAGGTACTGTAGAACTTTTTTGACTAACAATGAATTTTATTTTACAAGCTTTCGCCCCAGTCAATGGGGCTTCTTCTTTTGCCCCAGTCAATGGGGCTTCTTCTTTCACCCCAGTCAATGGGGCTTCTTCTTTCGCCCCATGACTGGGGCGAAACTTGTGAAATAAAATTCATCGTTAGTCAAAAAAGTGCTACAGTACCTACTCATTTGTTTCATTAGTATAAACTGACTAATATGGCTACACCACTTTTTTGATTCTCTGAAGTTAGCAATTTATAAACAGCTAAAAACACTTTTTATATTACATGTTTTTAATTGCATGTACTTATCTTTTTAGAAAGCCCCTACCCAACTCTAAATGTTATATTATATTTTACCTAACTTTCTGGTCCCTACCCATCTGTTAGTATTGTTTTATTCCATTTTAATTAAGAAAAAATGAGTGAAATGAAATTGATTATATCAAATGTTTAAACACAACAATAGTCAATTCACTTTAACATTTTTGTCTTCATAGCCTAAATTCAAATAAGATTAATATTTATAATTTGTTTTATTTTTCTATTTATTTTTTTTTAATTTCAACTACTGTACATCCAACAGCAGATAGTTTCTATATTCACTAATCTATACCTATGGCAATAGCCAAAGAGTTCTGTACACCCTCCAAATAAAACGTACTTTGGTATACTGCAGTAATTTATGTTAGATCCTGAGAAAATATGAAATATGTATTAGAATAAAAGAATGATTGATTGTTACAGCAAGGAAATTGGAGTAACATGACAATGTCAATAATGACATGAAAAGGCCATGTTCTTTAATGTATAACAATATGACTTTAAGATCTAGAAAAAATCAAGTTACATGAAACTGTAACAAAATGTAGACTATTAGAACTGGGGCATCTGGTGGACTCTTGTCAGCAAGCAAGAGGAAAAAATACTTGGCTTGTCTGTTGCACCTGTTGGAGTGTGTTTAAAGCATCTTAAGCATGATCTTTGTCATCATCAATTAGAGTAAGGGTGACATCCTATAATATGGTGCATTCTTCTCAGCCTCTTTCCACATTGGCCCATTGGGATATTACTGTACATACAAAAAGCAGTTTATGTGTTTATAAGCCCATTTATGTTAATTGTAATTTATGTTTCTAGCATCATTTGAGTTATCGTACTCTTACATTGGGGTACATATTAGAAAACAGAGAGGCATTCAACCACCTGATTTTATGCCTAACATACTTTATACAATCTTTATCTTATCTCTCTACTCCTAACATACTATCAATCAACAGTATGCAGACGCTGACTGATTTAATTTAACTTATTCTGTTAACTGACATTCAAAATTACAATATTTATTATTTCTAAAACATCCTCCCACTTGAGCAAGTTCTTAGGCTAAATTTGAGATATATCAATGATTTTGTAGACTAAACAATCTGAAAATGGCGAAATCATTCAAATCTACCACTGGGTCTCCATAAGCAATGAAATATATGGGCATAGTTCTTAAGCATACTCTACAGTAGCTATTGAAAACTTTGTATCAGATTGAGGGCACAATTTAAAATGATTGGCTGGTTCTACTCTATGGCTATGTTCTCACACGGCAGCTAACGTTTAGCAGGATCTGGATCCTGCTAACCGTTAGCTGCCGTGCGTCCATACGAGAAGATCCCGATCCCGATACCAAGAATATGATGATCGAATAACTGGCCAATAAGAAACTGGAAATTGTAAACGCATACGTGTGATTGGTTGATGATAGAAACGTGCTCAGCTTGCTAGCCGATAGCGCTTGCTAACCATTAGCGGTATCCTGATACCGCTAACGGTTAGCACTAACCGATCGGGCGTTCTCACACAGGGGCTAACGGTTAGCACTAACGGTTAGCTCCCGATCCGGAACCAGGCATAAGTTTTTGGAACATTGAGTGCATTGCAGTTATTAGTCTAATTAAACGGTTTCAGTCAACAAGACAAATATAAAACTTGAAAAGCTCTGTCCATACTTTCAAATTTGATTGATTTGCCAATATGTAGATTTAATGATGATGATGTCATATATTACACCCGTATATGTAAAAACTAGAGTTATTTGTCACTTGATACATGAAACAGACCTACACTTTTTCCTTTAAATACTTGATAACAATATTTAATTTTTCAGAATTTGATTCATAATCATGCTACAGCCCCTATCTTCAGGCTACTGATTTTTATAAGAATGTTTTATAGGATAAGGTTGAAGGAACAACATTGTAAATCTACCAGTTAAGAGACACAAAAGGTCAAACGTTTAATGGGACATCCTATTTTCGCTTGCATTGAGTAACTTACTCAAGAAAATCTGTGATTAACTTTCGACTGCATCTTGACCATGTCCACGGGCTATTGTCGTCTGAGTTGAGTGTTGGTGCCATCATGTTGTACTTCCCAGCTAGACTCTCATGGAATTCTTTTTTACATTTGTAACTATCGTCGTGAGGTAGATTAAATCTGAAAAGATTTTTTAAAAACCATTTTTTATAAATTTTTTTCATTTTAACAAAAAAAGAATAAAAAATGATAAGTGTTATGTTTGAAGAGTAGTAAATTACTGTAGTAGATTACTTAAAAAAATGTTAATATAACAACAACAATAAAATTAATAATAACATAGCTTTTGATTGTAATATTGTCAATATTACAATTAAAAGCTATGATGTTATTAATTTTATTGATTGTAATATTGTTAATAAATTAAATTAAAAAGAAACATAGAAATGCAATATCCTTGTATATTGAAAGTACCACAAAAAATTAGGAATAGAAACAAGATGGTGGGCAATTAGGCCTACACGATTATGATACAAATTACAGACAAAAATATACCAGGACAGCAAAAAATCAACATGCTAAGGCTTATGCACCTAGACATAATATATGTCAAAATATATGATATATCTCTTATATTATAAGAGAGAACTACCATTCTCTATAGTTCAAACTTGAAAATACAATTTTGTGAAGCACAACTGACTAAAAACAACATGTAAAAATTAGCACATCTGTTGGCTACAGACAGCTGGTTATATTAAGACCACTGGACTTAGTAATTGGCAGCTGCACAAGTTCAGAAGTGACCACTACTGACCAGCATGTACTTTAAATATGTAGAAACTACCCTACAAGTTTTTCAGCTGTTGCAGGGTGAGAACAATGAAACACACCTGATCAAAAAGTGGTCACTTTCATGCCTCCCTCTGGAGATCAAGCAGTTAGGTCAATCAATGCAAGCAAAACCTGTTAGCCAGGCATAAGATATAGTATCGGTCAGAGGGAGGCCAACCAAGATTATGGTTGGCCTTCCTCAAAATTTATTAGGAATAACCATTTATCAAGTAAATTCTTGCAATACTGTGATCCTCTCCTATAGTATTTTTGTTGAATCATTTTTTTTAAATAATCCTATTAGTTTTATAGTAGTCTACTGATATATTTACAGAGGCTGAATATGAAAATAAATAATCAACTGTATGAAAACATTTATACTGAAAGGAAAATAATTATCACCTTTATTTGTCCTTTTCTTTACTCATTACTTTTAATTCAATTATTATTTCAAAAGTCACTTATCAATTGTTAATTGGAGCACTAATGTGGTCAGAACAACTGCAGGCTGAGACCATTATTCGTGTCAATTAATTTGCCCTCAATTTAATGTCTAACTGACCAGTTCAGCTGACCACCTAGTGGGCATATAATTGACCTTTCATGTATTCTCTTGATCTATATTAATGGGCCCAAATCAGTTTATATAGACGTATACTGTATCTTTAATAGGATAGGTTTGTTAATTCCAATGCTAAGTATGGCCAATGCATAGTTTGAGAGAGTGTGAGCATTGTATAATAATTGTCAACACCAGTGCTCTGTAAATATTCTATTATAAATATTATCATTATTATTGACACTATAATTATGATAGCCATGTATTATGTATGACTCTCCCCTTGGAACATTTTTCTGTACCTTAGATTTATTTACATTAGGACATTGTAATTAAATGTTTGATGAAATGGAATTATTTATTTTAGCCATTTCAAAAGCAAACTTTCAAAGTTTATGGTGGAATATATTGAACAATAAAACATAAGATCACCCACAAAGACAATGTGCCATTACTCCTTCCTAAACTCACTAGAGTACTAAACCTAACATTCCAGGTGACTAGTCACAGCCCCCTCCCACCCACACACAAGCACACATTGGTAGATATACTATTTTTATAATCTCAGCAGTAAGGGGTTAATTAAAGCATTGCTCCTAGGTAAAAGAACAACCAAATTACAAATATTTATCATTCAACTAATTGTAAACTGGGTAATTGTTTTGATAAATTTATATTAGTTGCAAGCTGCGGGGAAGATATCCTAATGTACCCTTGGTCTGTCCCTCCTAGGAGTTTTACTTGCTCTAACGTCAACCTAAACTAATAATCCTTATGTTAAAGACAAACACACTCAATTATATCGTAGGACTGACCATGAATAAGTAAGAAAGAACACAAAATATTGTTGTGTCCTTCATAATCTGTTTTTTTTTAAAAGACATCCCTTGATGCTCAAAAACATCAAAAGATGGTCAATAACTAGATAAAGTAAACCTTCATCACAGGAGCAACAAGATGATCACAACACTAGAGGACATCAACTTGCCCTAAAGAAATGATTACCTGTTACATGTGCCAAATTTAATTATGACACATTAAGAATCTACATATAACAGAAGATATTTAAGAAGTTTCAGTGGGAATGTGATAGTCAAAACACTTCTATATTTTTCAACACTCAATTTATAAAAAAAAAAAAAAGAACTGTCTGATAGAAAAAGTGATACATTAAATTACGGTTACAATTTGAAAGTAACATGACAATTTGTTTTTGTGCTTCTCATAGTTCACAGGTAATTTCATCTTCATCTGAGCCACCATGTCTAGTACTCTGCCAAAACAGAAAATTTCACAGAACAATTAAATTCAAATCTGTTGGATTCTCACCAACAAATTCAAAAAAGAAAATGTTTGGCAACAAATTTGTAAAAAAGGTTTGAAACAAACAGGATGTCTATATGAAGCAATACAAAGTTCATGGTTAGTCCCTGCATGTTACTTTCTTGGAGGATAAGAAAAACTACATTTCAATGAAAAGCCCACGACTTTAATTAGTCTCCAACAATAAAACTTTTAACCAAACCAAAAAAAAAAAGACACACACCGATACTCAGGTCATTACCGGTAGTTCACTATGTTAGATATAATGTATTTATTCAACATCCCTATCATCATAATTAGCCAAAGCCATTTCACTGCAGGGTAATGCCTTTCCCTCACTTAATCTACTATGAGTTGTTACAGAGACAATATAGTGAAGCAACAGGACGTGCCCCTAAAATAATTTAAATGGTAGGAATTAATAATTTTTTGTGTTTTTATGATAAAGATTAACAATGATGATGGTAACAACAGAATAATGATGATGATGTCAATGATGATGTATGAGAATGATAAGGACAATGATAATGATGATGAAGTTATGATGAAGATGATGATGATGATAATGATAAAATAAAAAGAATAATAAACAAATGAACTATGATTTTTAAGGAACTCAATTGGTACCCATTTTAGGTGAAGCTACAGGGGTTAATAGGCAATGTAAATTGTTTGTTTTCATTGGCATATTGTACACACATAGGGTAATATCAATATACATTGGGCTTTACCACCATGAAGTAACCAAAAAAAAAAAAA